GAGAGAGAGAGAGAGAGAGAGAGAGAGAGAGAGAGAGAGAGAGAGAGAGAGAGAGAGAGAGAGAGAGAGAGAGAGAGTTACCTGACAGTTACAAGACACATACCTTGTATTCAAGGGTACCTTCTATTCGAAAATTTAACAGCAATTTCTTAGAACCCATTTTTCGGAGGTTACTTGAATACAAGGTACGTACCTTGTTTTCGGGTTAAGACGGTAGTACCTTTGTTGGTTCGGAAAATAGTGGCCCTCCGTCCTTTCAGGAGGCTGAAACGAAACGACAGCCGCCAATCAGATTTATCAGCGGCAGCCATTGTCAGGCCCGGCCTCCTAAAAGTTCGGGGCTAGGCTATAACTTGTTGAAACTGGACGGCAAAGGTACTAGTAGTGGTTTAATGCCCCACCGCCCGAAAGCTTAGAGCCTTATAGCCACTGGACACTCCTGTATGTATGGGGGCTGCAGCTCTGGCATAGGGAAATACCTACCAGACAAGTACCATTTTTTTTTTGTTTTTCCCTCTCTTCCTTTTTTTTTCTCTCTCTCTTTTCTTTTTTTTTTTTTTTTTTTTTTTTTGTGCACAGGGGCCGTGCTAATCTTCTTCTCTGTATCGTTCCAATTTTAACAGATGTTTTCATCTCCTTCACTTTTTTCAAGTTTTTGTGGCTTTGGCCTGCCAATGGACCGCCCAACGGTAGTGGTTTACAAGTCCGTGCTGCAGTGGAATTAAGGCTCGATTAGTTTGGAGAACTTTGGACCCCCCGTATGTTACTTTTTTTTGTTTTGTTTTTTTAATGATGCCTTGGACTATGTAGTGTCCCTGTTTTCCCGCACCTCCTCTTTCCTCCTGCTGCTGCTGATGCGGCTGGTTCTGCTGTTTTTTCTCCGATGGGGCATGATGTCGAATGCAGAGAAAAAGGGGAGACATAAATAAAGTGCAATGGATAGTGTTACACGCAAGATGATGTACACGCACACGAAGATCAAGTCAAAAGACAAGCTCATCGTAGACAGGTCTGCACCAATGTAGTCAAAGTATACAACAACATCAGAATTGGCTCCCCGACGCGTTTCGACTGCCGTCTCGTAGTCTTCTTCAGGGGGTTTCCCACCAGCCACGCCCCGATGTACCCTTCCACCACCTACCCGCCTCCGCGCTACTACACATCGATATCTCCGAAAATGCTGACGCTGTACCGCGTCAGTCCTGAAAGAGGAGTTGTTACTCGTAAGCTGAGTATAAGTACTCTGACCACCCATTGTCACGTTGGTACGAAGGGCCACAGTCCCAACTGAACTACTCACCAAACCACACATACCCCTGGCCCTGGGGAAATAAACCAAAGAATACCAGCCGGTACCTGCCCGCGGTCTCAAACCATACAGGGTTCGCTGCAAAAAAACCAGGCAAGGCCTAACTACTGTCATGGTCCGTAGGCCAGACCAGGTTCACTGTTCGCAAATGCACTTCAAACCGCCGTCGGACCCTGTCCAAATAGATGAACCTGGCCTTGAACCGCCGCTGCGCACCTCGTGGTCACACAGCGGACCTAATTAGTTCGATGGTCAGGTTCCAAATCCTGTCTCTACGAAAAGCAAAACGCTTCAATACTCTCAAGATAAATAAGGTACCTGTGAACGCAGTGTATGTAGCAAGATTATTTATTTCTTGGGAAAAAAAACGGAAAGGTGTAGCAAAGTCATCTGGCTGTCAAGTTCTCTTGGCTGATCTCGTGATGCCGGAAATCAACTTTTTTGAAGTTTTTTCTTTTTTTTTTGTTAATTAACTGTTTGTTAACTTTGTTTTAGATCATGATGATGAAACATAGAATTCGCGGACAGGTAAAAGAGAAGAGAAGAGAAGAGAAAAAAAGATTTGAGCACGTGGTGGAGCTCATTGGCGGCAGGCAATCAAGCGGAGCATGGAGGTCTAGTGAAGCTGTGAGCGTGTGTTAAATTGTGGCAGATGTGCTGTTCGCCGATGTCAATCCCTGTGTTCTTGCTCTTGACTGCTTTTTTTTAATGCTGTTCGGTGACGCCAATCCCTGTGGTGTTTTGACATGTGACAGATGAACAGTTTGGCCGCTCTGTTCTACCGCTCATTCCTGCAGATCCAGTGGATGCTGACAACCTGGACGTAAAGTTTCCAGTAGATTCTGTGAAATTGGATGCAAAGTTTCCGGTAGATTCTGCGAACCTGGATGCGAAGTTTCGTGTAGATTCTGCTAACTTGGATGTAAAGTTTCCTGTAGATTCTGCTAACTTGGACGTAAAGTTTCCGGTAGATTCTGCGAACCTGGACATAAAGTTTTCTGTAGATTCTGCAAACTTGAATGTAAAGTTTCCAGTCCCTGATACGTTTGAGCTCCCGGCTCTCGACAAGAAGAGAGAACACGGTTGTGCTGAGTCAGCCGCTGCAGATTGCAAGGAATTGGACAATGCAGGCACCTCCCCACCGATTTCTGACGTCGAGATTCCGGTGAATGGTGTAGAGGGAAGCTCAGCTGTGCCAGCATCGGCGACTGCAGAAGGACGGAAAGACTCAGACAGTCTTGACAGTCGGTTTGGTGTGAGGGACACGTCTGAGGAAATGCTCGTTGACCCTCCCGCCCCCTCCGACAACCCTCACGCCCCGTCCGACAATGCTCGTAGTGCAGAGGGTGCAAGCCCTAACCATCCCAATGCTGCAGATGTAGAAAATGTGCCAGATAGAGAAGAAGAGCAAGAGGAACGAGGTGGACGGGCCGATGGAGTTCATTTCCCACTACCTGAAAGGCGTTCGCCGAACGGAGGATCGGGCGATCATGATCGTAAACCTGGCGGCAACGAGCACACAGAAGGGCCTGGTGAGATTCTTGAGAATAGTCCAGAGGAGAGGAGACTCAGGAAAGATGTTCAGGAGCCAAGTGCATGCGAGGTTGATGCATCTGCTGGCTGCGAGATCAACGGGAACCCCCTCAGGCGTCTCTCAGATATTTCGGACTGGTGTTTTGACGATAGCTCCGTCAGGCGGAACAGTTTGTCGTGCACCAGACGGAGCTCTATGCCGAATATTGCCGGAGCACCTAGAAGGCAGTCCGCATTTTGGCAGAATGAAAAAGTGAGGAGAACCATCGAGGAGTCTGCCGAGGAGCCACGTCCCCTGAGTAAGGCGATCAAAGACGACAAAGGCATGGGAAGAGAGCAGACTAGCGAAGCATGCGGTAATGGGAAGGTAGGCCCTGCTCTGCACCTACTTTATGACAGAATGGTATGCACATGTACCTGCTAATGAATGAACAGATCGCGAGTTCGAAACCCTGATGGATACCATGATGTGAGAGGTTGACGTTGTCAGCCCCTGTCAGCCCCTTTGAAGTTTGAACGGGAAACAAAAACTGTAAAAAAGAAGAAGAAAAGAAAAGAAAGACATGCGGCTAAAATTTGACGACTGACACAATTCAGAAACAACACGATGGTGTCCTTTTTTTGGACATCTGTTAAAATTTGGAACGATACAAAAATGGTCCACTTTTAACATGGCCCCTGCCGGAAATTTGGGTCAAAGTCAAAGAAGGGTAATTACTAATTAGCAAATGGCCCCTGCGTAAGGATGACAAGCATAAATCGAGAAGTTGTCCACTTTTTATTAAAAAAATGAGGGAAAAAAAAAAACAAAAAACAACACGATGGTGAGGGTTATGGGCCTACCAGACACTACCTACTTTGCAGAACCGCCAGTACTCACGACAAGTAGAGACACGACCAGTAGAGAGACAAATACTATCTATCCTAAGGTTATGGGTCTATACCTACCTAACTCTGCTCTGTGCGGGGAGCAGCACGCGATGCAGTTGTCCACCGATGAGGAGAAGACAGTCTGCATTTCTTCGTTTTGGAGGGGGGGGGGGGGGGGGGGGG